GACAGCATGGCTGGAGTGCTGCATCCCTGCTCCCAACACTGACAGCATGGCTGGAGTGCTGCATCCCTGCTCCAAGGTGCTTTTCCCTCCATCCTCAGCTGTGCTGTGTCCCTTTGCAGCTGCACTCGTGAAGTGTTACCAGACTGCTGGCAGACTGACAGCATGGCTGTTCCTCTCATTTGGGTGGTCTCTCAGGAAAGGCTCCCTTACCCCAGAAGACGTGCAGCACCACCAGGCAGCCCTTGACTGTCTCCTGCTGCTCCTGTGCCTTGTGCTGGGATGCACTGTGGGGGCAGAGGGCAGGGATTTGTACCGTGGTGAAGCATTTACCCCACATAGCTCAGGCTGACAGCTCCCTCTCCACTTCCAGCATTATGGACAGCAAACAGAGAAAGGCAAAAATCACATATAAAAGGAAGGTGCTCATTAGCCAGAACTGTCTTTGCTTCAAACCCTCCAATTTTTGGCAACATTTGCCAGATGAGAGGACGTGTGCCTCCTCTTATCAAGCAGCCACACACGGCCTCAGCCAAAGGTTTTAGTAAGGGAGGTTTCAGTAATTGGCCTATTCATCATTCATTGTTTATCTTAAGTTCACATCGTCGTAGGGAACTCCAGAGACATCCTTGATTCAAGTTAAGAAACTTAATCATGATGATAAAACTGCTCAGGGAGTTGGAGTTCATGTCGGAGAGGCACGTGGCCGTGTGGCACTCCAGCAGCTGCTACTCACAGCAAATTACTCAAAACTGACAAAGCTTTGGGAGAGAAGAGAAAAAGATAAATTCGTGGTGGCCGTTCTGACGGAGGCGCCCAGAAAGTTATTACAGCAGAAATGCACTTCCCTTGCTCACAGCCCATGAAAAATCCCACTCCTGTGAGCTCCGGGGACAGCTGCCTCAGCGCTGCTCTCACAACTCCCTCGTCAACAGAAGTTATTAACAGCGCTGGAGAATTTTATCCAAATGCCAGCTTCATCTTGATAAATAACATTTTCATGTCTCTGTTCTACCAGATGACTACACAGTTTTACTTCAAGCACTTAACTTCTTCCAAAATGCTTCCCCATGCACGAGGCTTAGCTCAGCTATGGAATGTGTGCTGAGCAGGGTTTTTTTTTTTCCCAGGCTTTGAATACCTGTAATGCAAAGACCAAACCCATAATCCTGCACTACCTTAACTCACTTTTCCCAATAAAGAGCTGCTTCCTACTGGGACAGCTAAAATGTAATTGAAAGCTCCGTGTGTGTGTGTTGGTGCCACACTGAAAAGCCTTTTATTAAAAATAGTTTGATGGTTGTTAAGGAATAGTCTGCAGCTCCTCTGGGATGTGCAAGAGCAAGGAGAGGATGACCTGGGGGTGGTGGGTTGGTGTCTCCCCCCGTGGCCCATCACCCCAAACCAGCCCAGGGTGTTCCTGGGCTCCCTGCTCACAGCAGCACCCAGATGCTCGGGGTGATGCCAACGCTCTGCTGGCAGCAGTTAATTGCCAGCCTGCTTCATTAGCAGCAGGCAATTTTGTGATGGCTGTGTCTGAGGAGAGGGAGGTGGATGAGGCTGGCCTCAGAGAGGTGCAGGTGTGGTGCTGCAGGTGTGGGGTGCAGTGCAGGATGCAGGGATGCTCTGGGGACCAGCAATAAACTCCTCAGCACGTGGAGAGGCACCAGGGCCCCACCTGAGGAACTGCCAGGCAGGTCTCTTACCTCAGCTGAGAACTGGGCAGGGGGAAACCTACAGGGAGAAGAAAAATTTTGGTAA